GGGGGGGGGGGGGGGGAAGTTGCACATCTTGGAATATATGTTATGATATTTTAAGGCTCTTTCTACCAAGGTGGTAGTGTGTGGTGAGGTTTTGTCTGATAGCTTTTAAGTGTTCTGTTGCTTTATGGGTTTTATCCTTTGCTTGGGAAACAGACTTTTCTGATGTAGGAAGCAATGATATAATTTTTTCCTTTCTTTTTAGGTTTGCTCTTGTAGGTGTTGGGTCTGAAGCATCCTCAAAAAAGCTGATGGATCTGTTGCCTAAAAGAGAACTGCATGGGCAGAATCCTGTTGTAACTCCATGTAATAAACAGTTCCTGAGTCAATTTGAAATGCAGTCAAGGAAAAGTAAGCTTGCTCTTACTTGCTTTCTCACTCGAGGGTAAGGGGAACCAAAGGCTTAGCCTTAGGGAAATTGTTGCAGTTTATACTTAACTTAAAATGATATGTACAAGGCTCAATGTAGTTGTGTGACATGTTGTATGGTCGACTGAGTAAAGTTCATTGTTGTTCCCAACATAAATTCTTTTTAGTTTGGAGCTGGGTGTATTTATTTGAGTGCAGACGGGATAGTGGGTAGAAAAGAACTTGAATTTCCTCTTCAAAGAAGAGGACAAAATATTCCATTCCCAGATACTTTTGAAAAGTATTGGGGGCTGGACTCGATGATCCTCCGAGGTCCCTTCCAACCCTAATGTGTATGAAAAAGCTTTCTAAATTATTATTAAAGAACTACCCAAATTCCATCCTAGTTGAATGTTTATATTGATATTTAGTGTTTGTGGTCATGGAATTTTCTACATCTGTTGTTGTCTTGTAATGCCACTCAAAACTGCCCGTTATTTAAAAAACAGTAACACATGAAAACATTCATATGTCAAGCCTGGTCAATGTGAATAAATCATTCATTTGGACATTTGTAGTCAAATTGGAATAGATTCTGAGATTTGCCTGGGTTGTGTTCATTGCAAGGGGGGAAGTATGATCTGCTGTGTTATCCCTTTAGCATCTGATCTGGGTTGGGGAGATGTGGCTTGAGCCATGGCATGTGTTTGAGCAGCCTTTAGAGCTATTGCAATTTGTTTCTGTCTCAATGGGCTCCAGGTGTCATTCCATAAATAAAGGGGTGCTGACACAGTGTGGTGTTCTGTCAAAACCCCTTTCCTCACCACAACTCTTTACTGAGAAATGGAGAGCAAGAAGCGGGCTGTACATAGTTTCAGAGTTAGTAGGGTCAGAAGGGACCTGAGC